TTACAGATGCCTTAAATTGATTTCAGGGTCATAGCCGTTTTTTCCAGATGTCTCAAGATTTTTGCCAACTGTGTAAAGTCAGACATTTGTATAATAACCCACATGTATTATAAAGTACTTATCAGTTTAACAGTTCATTCATTTGCTCCACCACTACACCTGCCTGCCACACACCATCCCAAAAGCCAATGGTATTTGTTTACCACTTCATATCTACTGATAATATGCACAGTTGTACAATTGAACCCTGAATAATGGGGTGATAATGAGTAATCAAAAATAACAAGCCATGCATGGCACAGTTCCCATTATCGTTTTGTTTATAGTAATATAGTTGGAACATAAACATGTCAGAGGTATGGATCCAGAAGATGATGCTTGATTATTATGATTTTTAACATTAAAATGATTGATATCTTGTATCTGATCATCAAACAAGTACTTGTCCATATTGAGAAATATTGCTCTGGAACAGAATTAATTAAAACAAAATGGCCACCAGTCAGCCATTATAAATAGGTCTATATATCTATAACATGATATAAAACGACTATATAAAATTTGAACATAATCAGTCAAAGCATATCAGAGACGCACACACGCACGAATGCAAGGATGCATGGACACATGGACGCACAAGGGTCAAAACGAACAGGGACTAATAAGTTGTACATGCAAGTACCGATAGTGTACATGTATAACATGACTACAGATGCATAAAAATAGCCCTTTTAAAAGCAGTTCACAATATAGGCCAAATCATGTTTGCAGAAACCTTGCCAAGACTTTGCATGCTGAACTGCAAATAGGTCATTGGATGGCACCCACTTCCCGTTTTTTTACTGTAAACTGGATAAATTATTTACATGGAAATTGTGATTCATGCTTGTACATTGCCATGTATTAGGAAAATTTCATTTGAAAAATGCTTCTGTATAACAGCCATGGCCAACATTCCAAAAAATACAAGATTAAATAAAAACCTATACCTAACCTCATTTTCACTTTTAATGAAATACATTATTTTATTTAGCCTTAGGTTTTCAGGAATGGGTTGTCAGTTTCTTGTTATGGAATATTGATTATCTGTGAACACACATGTACAAAGAGATTACCGTTTTTAAAATATAGCCAGAATTTTCTTTTATCTCGCAATTGTTCATAATAAGTTTTTAGTGGTACATTTGTAACAAGAAAGGGGCAATTATAAGTACCATTGTTTACATGTCTGTGAAATTCAAAAAAATTGCAATAAAAAACTAGTACCTCATGATTTAGCAATTAGGAAACTGAGCTGATAAAATTATATGCAGCAACAAAGTAAATTGAACATCTTTTTTTCTGACCTTATAACATTTAAATAATCCCAGTGCTCAAGTAAAAATAGTCAAAATGTATAGGTTAATAATTACCCCCCGGTACATTGTACAGGTACGATTTATAAAAAAAAATAACATACATAAAATTAAAATGAATATTTCATACATCAGGACATATACCATAATGTCTTTTAAGGTCTATGATCAGAAACAATATATTATTTAGAATTAAAAATGACTAAAGATGTCAGTAACTCAAGTACTCAAAAATTATAAAAATTGGTGAAATATCAAACTTTTATTAATAAATACCGGTATGAACCTCATTTCCATAAAAAGCAACGGCATTTGAACATTACTAAAAATATTGTCTTGCATATTAATTTTAATAAATTTCACTCTTACTTCTTCAAACTGATTTTGTAAATACGGTTAGTTTTACATCTCTCTCGACTCTGTATAAAGCATTTATTGTTCCTTCCAAGGTGAAAAGGTCATCTGCAGGCCACACTGCACATGAACACTGTGTACATTAAGTACAAACACTGCTTTAAAATGAGGGAATAATAATTTTAACTACAAGATCAACTGCACTGGAAATAATTTAATAATAATTTAGTAAAAATTAAAATAATGTTCTGTTCATTAGTCTATATACATGACTATACACGAAGCTTACTAAATTTCAATTTAGAAAATTTGTTATTACACCACTCAATAATGACATTGCATGTTATTGTCTCCAAATACAATATAAAACATTATTATTGATAATATTCGATGCACTGTCCAATGAAACAATTTGAATGCTAATGTGAAATTTTTTGACATTCCAAAGGGGCAACAAACACAAACTATAAAAAAGACTGTATTGGGTCAAGAGCTGAATGGAAGATAAGAAATACAATATTACCCTGAGCCTTTTTTCGAAGTGAGAAGGCGGTTTCAACTGAGGTAATTGAATAAGATAAACTACTGTGACCACTATCACTGTCGCTGTCAAAGTCTTGGTAAATGCTTGAAGGGTCATTGTCATCCATTGCTGCCATGATGTCAACATCAACTGAATAGTCAGTTTCGTCCATGTTAAAACTTCAGGTAAATGAATAACAGTGTACAAACGCAGTCATCCAGCGATAGTGAGGCAGTTTATACCGGAAATCCATCTTGCGCATAGACGGTCACATGACATTTACCGTCACAAGTTAATTAGTCATATAATAAGGCATAGACTCTTAAAAAAAAAACTTGTCATGAATCAGGTCATTCTTGCACACAGGTATACCGTGCATCACTTCAGTTTACATAGGAAAGGGTGACAGTAGTGATGGCATACATATAGGCATGCAGTCTGGGTACTACTGTAACACCTGCAATCCTGTTATAAAGCTACTGGTTCTGTCTGCCGACGACTGTACAGGCAAACAACCACACCTACCCGTACATACAATCCGTGTACACAGATTAGGGTATCACATGACAGCACATCAACCAATACTTCAAAGGTCGTGACCTCAATGACTAAGGTGCCCAGCGATAAAACAATGAACTTGTTGATAAATTGAAACTTCTGGGAAATACAATCAACTACTTGATTAACATTTTTAATTGGATTATTGAATAAGATAACAGACAATCAATAACAACGACTCAGGCAAATGAGAGATGCTGAGTCCCTGCAAAGCGTCGTGAGTGAAAATGAAATAAATACACAAATTTCAAATGTACCTTTCACGCCAAGTTAAACCATGGACGTACCATGGTTAAACTTACCGTCAGCCTGACCGCCTGTCGAATCTATTAGTTCGTCTCCAGGCATGATCATTTACTTCAACTATTGCCGTTGAATAGAGAGTTGTCACTTCCTTGAAATACCTCAAACAATAAAAAAAAAGGTTTTCTATCAATCACGTGACGATTCCATGTAAGCTGCCATGTTGAAAGAATATTCAAAGCATCATGGGTACTTGTCTTGATTTTATTCCAAACTAAACGAACAGTGGCAACTGTTTTCTAAATGCCTCAGATAACAACACAAAATGGGTTTACTTATTGTGACTGTTACATGTTGCGACATTTCTGTTTTTGTTCTACAGAATGACACGGACAAAAAAAAATTAACGTCGTTTTACCAGTCACACGTGCGCCCTCTATGTCAGTATTTGATCAGCTGTGAAATAAAACAAAGTCAAGATGGATGCTGACTCCGATGGAGATACATTTGTTACATACGGAACATTGTTGAAACAGTTGGAAGACGGTGAGTGGAATATTTTTAAAAGGATTTCTTCAAAAATAGTCGACTAGTTCAGACCACATATACAGTTATGAATGCGTTATGTAGACAGAAACATCAAATTTTCCTGAGGTTTTTGTTCTTTATTTTTTCGTTTTTTTGCTGCTTCTATTCAAGTTTTGTTCGTGTGACCATTATTATTATTTATGATCATAGATTGTGTATGATCGTTAGGTAATAATATTTCAAGTCGTGCGTTTGAAGAAACTTTGCCAACTTGGTGTTGCATTATTATTTATTTTGAAGCCTTAATGACATGTTATGTAATATAATAATAATTTCATTTATTACACCATAATGAAACTTTAGGCTGTTATGTAATAAATTTAAAAAAAAAAAAGGAACAAAAATAAAAGTTAAAGAAAATTTAGATAAATATAGTTTAAAATGGCAAACTAGCCTGAGATAGTGATGATATACAATTATGTATGATAAGTTTTAAAGTGCCTGTGAAATGGCTGCTATTTTCACACCTAAAATTATCCATTGATACATAAATATTATTAATTTTTATGTTTCTAAGCATGAATTATTTTTTTTAAGTGAAAAAATGTATTTTAACCTCAATCTACGGCAACTTTATTTTTGTGTATTTTAAAACGAGGCTCCTCATTAGCTTCTTATTTGCATACAGAAATTCTCCTTGTGACGTCAGAAGGGAAAGTCGCATGGCAGCTTGCATTGCCGATACGTGTAAATAAGGCAAATTTCTTGTGCAGTTTTCTCGTCTTTGATTAAATTTTGACTTATGTACTTATTCGTCGAGGAGGAATAACCATAATGAACACATAGTATCAATTTTTGTTGCATGGGGTTGAGTTAGATGCGAAATATGTCCGTTCTGGTGTAGCTGGTCACCGTGATCGTCACCGGCGCACGTTTGTACACTGTCGCTGGACAAAATAGAATTTGACGTCGGAACTATCTCGTTATTTAGCAGGTTACTAGGGACGTCACTACACTGTTGTATTTCATCAATCGTCTGAGTAAAA